ACTAATGTAAGCTTATTCTATATTAAGTGCATCCAGGTGGCTCACGTAGATCCGCTGATCGAGCCATGATTCGTACTTGCCCCATCCTCCCGAGTCAACAAGATACCCGATCAGGAGCGGAGCTCTGTGTCACGTGATTATCCATAGTGAGGGCTTTGCCCTATTAACCCTTTCGGTCACTCGCTTGTCACTAGCGGCAGTGTGGGGCCGCCGGCCCGCCGAAGACTTCGTCGCAATTCTGCGCGCTTTTTTTCTCTCCTTCCCATCCACCCCTTCGACAACCAAAGGCAGATTGACTACCTTTCGCACTCGCCATGCGTAAGTATCATCGCCTTCTTGGTCATTTTAATGGCGGCTAACCTCTCTCTCTTGCAGCTCCCAAGTTCGACCCCAATGAGGTGAAGATCATTCACCTCCGTGTGACCGGTGGTGAGGTCGGTGCCCAGTCCGCTCTGGCTCCCAAGATCGGTCCCCTTGGTCTGTCCCCCAAGAAGATTGGTGAAGACATCGCCAAGAACACTGGAGACTGGAAGGGCATTCGCGTGACAGTGCGCCTGACCATTCAAAACCGTCAAGGTCAGTTTTTTTTTTTGCGTCAAAATCCGAATTTTTTTCACTTTCGGAAAGTATCTAACCATTATTCAACAGCTGCCGTCTCCGTCGTTCCCTCCGCCTCTTCCCTGGTCATCAAGGCCCTCAAGGAGCCCCCTCGTGACCGTAAGAAGGAGAAGAACATCAAGCACAGCAAGTCCGTCGCCCTCGACGAGATTGTTGACATGGCCCGCATCATGCGTCCCCGCTCCATGGCCAAGTCCCTCCAGGGTACCGTCCTTGAGATTCTGGGTACTGCTTTCTCCGTCGGCTGCCAGGTTGATGGCCGCAGCCCCAAGGATGTCTCTGACGACATCAAGGCTGGCGAGATCGATGGTAAGCTATCCATTCATCAACAATATTCCTCGGGGCCCATCTCGCTAACTCATTACAGTTCCTGAGGAATAAATTATTCCTCTATGATAGGGAAAGGGTGGCTTTCTGTTTTTGTAACAGCATCAGTCTGCTGAAAATGCGACGCTACTTGCAGAATATGAAATTTGCCTCAACAAAAAAGAAGATATTCACGAGTCATGACTTGATACCTTGTTTTCCGCGCTCTAATGCGAGTGACCGAATGAACAATTGGATCACCTCGCATTCTGTTTCCGTTCCCGTTCGTATAGGTTTTTCTCCCATTTTTTCCACCCATCCCCTTTCATGGTTCTTCTCGCTTCCTCTCCCATGGGCGATGAAGTTCCTGAAAGCATAGACGCCCCGGCGCAACCCATTTTCTTCAAAACACCTTACAACACTCTGGCCCTTACCGTTCTTTTCCTGCGGGAACTGGACATATCTCATTGTGGTATCCGGCTTATTTTAAGTAAGGGAGAGCAACTGATCCTTTACTCACCGCGGTATCCTTGGAGTGCGCTTGCGTACTCCGTGGGTACAGTGGTCCATTTTTGTGGTCTACATCCCTTCAATGATTACCTTGCGGTATGATTTGATCTCGTAACTTCGTAGAATCAGCATCGTTTATTTAGAAACTTCAATTGAATGTCTCTTGTCAATATCTGCATTTCTAAAAGTAGCCGTGTTTCACCGCACCAGTCGATATCGAGTGTCTTGGTTTGATCCTTGATTGATCTGTTCGATTAAGATTTGTGCCACGTTCGTTCTCGGGTAGGGATCATCCAATGCTGGCTCCAGCTTGTATATGATCGTCGCTGTGTCGTGTTCAGAAGTCGTCCATGTATAGGACAAACAGATCCTGTCGATCCCGTCCATAGGAGATTATTCTACTTTTTTTCCGGCTCGGATATTTGATTGCATGCATCCATGTTTCTGTTTCTGCTGCGGTGTCTCTAGGTACCAATAGCTCACGCAATTGCGGTCGCTTGCATCCAGTCGCACTTCGGCGCGCGACATATCGACTAGCACTACCTAGTGGAATATATATTCATGTATATTTTTGGGAATAGAGACATCAAACGCACTTGTGGCATGACTCGTAATTCCACTAGAAGTAGGTCAGTAAATTAAAAGGATTTCCGCCCCTTACCCAGATCGACATCTGAACAGCGATCTCCCACGCAGGAAGTAGCTAATTATAAACCAAGGTAGTATACATGATGTGTCTGCGTCGACGGCCCCCAGGTGGCCTCGACGTCCCCACCGCCATATGGCGATGAGCTTGTTTTGCGCCATCATAGTACATACGAGGGAAGAAAACGTCCAAGTACCTAAGTCTGAAACGTGACTTCAAACACCGCGAGTCTACACCGTATCGTCTGCGGTAGAAACCCTGCAACGGCAGACCACCTAGAGCAACGTGTCGCGGGTAGTCGTGTTGTGGTGATTGGATGCTGAAGGCACAGGATCTAGGCTGTGTATGGGAGGAACTGCGAGCGATGTCTACGGCATGAAAGAGATATTTTTTTTCTAAAAAAATAGAGTGATTACGATGCAGCGAAGGATGACTGGCCCTAAAACTGACCCAGCCAAGGCCAAGAGATGATAGAGAGTGAGCTCCACTGATGACGATCTTTGCTGGAAGGTCGTCCCTGATAAAGCGCTGTTCGTGCACCTCCCCCCTCCACGCCTCCACTCACACTCGGACGGCGGTGGGGACTCGAGGAGCGGGAGTTACAGTGCACGGTTCCTTTACTTAGACAAAGTGGGTAATCACTAAAGCATCACTGGAGATGACTGGGGCCTTACCCACCGCATTGATTTGACCTAACATTCGTTGGTAGCCCTGGCATGGGGTCGGGAATATCGAAGGTTGGACAAATGAGCGGCGTCGCCGGACTCCAGGATTCTCGCCGCAGCTCCTTTTGAAAACGGTACCTGCCGGCCCATCTGGGACGACGGCCTCCGTACCACCCGACCCGCATTGCAAACAAGCGTTGGTGTGTAGGAAGGATGGGAGGGTGAGTTTGTCGATCACTGCGGCCTGTGTGTGGCCCGAGTGGATAGGGGGGGATGTCGATATATCATTAACAGTGGCCAGTGGAACGTCCCTCGAGGCCGTTAGGATGGAAGGTTCGAATATTCCTCGGTGCGACCGTGCCACTACGAGATCCCTTTCACCGCGAGGAGGAAGAGGAACAGCAAGAAGAAGAAGAAGAAGAAGAAGAAGAAGAAGAAGAAGGAGGAGGAGAGGGGTCAGATCCAATGTGAAGGAGCTTTAACACGCATAAGAGTACCAATGATAATCCACCATGTACGGGTATGGATGGCCCGGACGGTCAAATCCAGATACCCAGAAAATTGAGGCGAAGGCGAAGGGATAGGATCGCGACATCCCTGCCAGCAACCCCAGAATCTCGGACCCGGATAGGCAAAGATTCGCAAATTGGATGAGGCGACCAAGGCAAACAGGGGTGCGCTTGTCACCGGGACACGAAGCGATGGCAGATGGTGGAGTGGTGGCTGCAGGAGGGGCGCTTACTCGTACAGCTGTGTGCTTTTTTTGGGATGGTCGCAGTTGTTGGCCAGGTTCTCCAGGGTAAAGCGGAGGGAGATGTGTCTTTCTTTTCTTTCTTTCCTTTTTCTTCCAGATGCTTGCACACTGGGTCCCTCCCTTCTGGCTGGAGGTAATGGAATAGGGAGTACGAGGACGGAGACTCCGGTTCTCGTACTTTGTACCTTCAGCACCAGCATGAAGATCCGAATTTCATTCTGGAGGCAGGTGGTGGCGCCAGGAATCAGGTCTAGCCATGCGTATCTCATCACGAAGGTTCCGCCCAACTCCATAGTAATCATTTGTAGCTCCACCTAGGAAGGCAAAGGTGAGAACGGGCTCGACTCGATCATCACAGCGGGGCGTCACCGATCCATGACTAGTTGTTTGAATGGGACCAATGGTCCACTGACGTTGGACACTTTATGGAGACCGCAACCTAGAGGAGGGTTCAGCCGTTGGATCAAGTGGATCCGGGTGGAGTAGGGGAGGAGAAGAGGGAGGAGAAGGAGGAGAAGGAGGGCTGAGGCACTTTTCAGAGGGGGAGAAAGAGAAAAAGAGAAAAAGGAAAAGGGAAAAGGGATTTAGGGGAAAATGGAAAGAGAAAAGAGGGAAATAAGAAAAGAGGCAGGTGCCTCCCTAAGTTTAATCAAAGATCAGAGGAAGGTGCGACCGGGATAGCAGACTCGTAGTATTTCTGTATAGACCATGAGTATTAAGTACAAGTATTAACTACTGGTGCTGTAATAATCTACATATTAAGTGATTAAGTGATATCCCTACTGTAGTGATGGCTGAAAATCCTTTCTATTTTTTAGTCCAGAGTAATTTACTAAAAGAAAAAAAAAAGCTACCGTGACGATCCCGCCTTTCCCCCCCCCACTCGGCTTGGCTGGAGGTGTTGGTCGCTGGTGGGCACCGGCGGGCATGTGTGGAAGTGTATGACTCTTTTTGTAACTTACCTTTTCGCATCTACCTGACAACCATCCTTCTCATTTCTCACTCCCTCATCCACACCCTCCCCTCTCCTTATCACCTTCTTCTCGCCGTCTCCGCCCTCCCTTGGACCTCATCGAACCGATTCAGCGCACAATTCTTGCCAAGATCGCCCGCATTTCATTGGCCCACTCATCTCGGTCACCAGCAGATCGCGAGCTGGTCTTGCCCCTTCTCCCTTGCATTCGATTCTGAGAATCGAAACTCTGCTTGTTACACCCTGTCCTTTAACTCTTATCGACCTTCTCAACTTTATCGCGGGGACACGCTCTTTTTTTCACGGTCGATGACGATACTAGGAGCCAGGTACACACCTTGCTCCACTCTTCACTACGCGGGATTGGAAAACCCATAATGAGGTGTCGGAAACGCATCAAGGAGGATGCTTGCTGAATTCTCACGATCTCCAACTGACCGTGTGTTCATCTTCACCCTATACCCCTGGTAGTCTGCCCTCGGTCCCGGTCGAATAGGAGACCGACCGGCGGTGGTCGAGGTGGTGAAGATGTTTCCGACCGTCGCGCAGTTCTCTTCGGTTCAACCACATCACCACCTTCATTATCCATCCTACGATACCCCAAACCAACCATACGATGCAAATGACCCGAACTTCTCCATTCAAAATGATCCCTCAACCCTTTTTCACGACCCATCATCCCGAACGCGCCTTCAGTTACCGCAGCCGGTCCAACGCCTCGACCCCCGCGATGCCTTTGGAACGAGTTCGACTCCAAACTCCACAGCCGAACACGCACTGAGAAGGAAAACACCCAACGGAACTCTGGCTGCGGGATACGATGGCACTCCTGGCGATACGACTATTCAACCCGCCACCAAACACATCCTGGTCTCCCCGATGGACTCGGGTCAGTTTCTTTCTCCGCAGGCAGGTCTGCAGCCCGAGACTTGGTACCCGCCTGTTCTTGACCAGTCCATTTCGACGCACCTAAACTTTCCACCCGTGTTCAAAAACGACGGCAGCAACCAGATCGCCGCTGGGGAGGTGGTTCACAATGTAAATGGGACTAGTTGGGTTCGTCCTGTGAATTACCCACCGGGAATTGACTCGGTGCTCAATCAAAGCCTTCCCTTGCAGGCGTCTCAGCGATTGATGTTGCAGAATGGTTCCTACATTCCGACCGTTCTGCCCGCCACGCTCCAGCAGTGCGTTGGGCCAACTGCCTCAGCTGGATCTGGCCCATATGGCCCATACTGGCCAGATGGTGTTTACATTCCTTACCGTCCTGCAGCCTTTCGAGATTCACGCTTCGGTACCCCAACTCCCTCGGGATCCCCCTTTTTCGACCCGAGTCAACTTAAACAATCGACATTTAATCAACAACCTATACAGCGCGAGAGGCACGTTGACCCGGCGCTTGCATGGGCCCAATCTGCTCCCGGCATCCCTACTCATGATCATATGATGAAGACACATTTCCCACCTCGCCATTCTGATCAGCTACCTTACCATGCTCGCGTCAATAGACCGACGTCGGCATACTCTACCAATCCTCTTAATAACGAACCTATAGCTTGGAAAGGCAGAGCTTCCGCAAATGATTTCCAGGCTCAAGCACCCTCGGCAACCGTCAATGTGGAGTTCAAAGAGAAAATTCTCTCATGGGCACATAGCGTATATGTTGATTTGCTTGCCACCATCCATCAAGCTCGCCGCAATAGTATTTCTAACGGCGGGGTTGATGGCTCGAATCAGCGCTTTTTAAAACCAAGCATCTATCCCAAACCCCCTCGTCAACCGGGTCTTGATTTCTCACAAAGCACCGTTCCCGAAATTACTCGACATAACAGTTATCCGTCCACCCAATATGACTTGCAACGCCAAAAGCTTGGCCTTTTGGCTAACCAGAGAATGGGCGACGCCCCTCCCGTGTCTATTAGTCGCGGGCATGTCCATGGTCGACGTCCATCTTTGAATCAATTTTCTCAGCATCGAAATTCCGATGCGCAGATACGTGACACCGGACGTTTTCCAGGTGCAACCACGGCCCCTCGGTTTCCCGGAACTGTTTTCAATGAGGGCTCCCCTGTGGCTAGCGCAGTGTCTGCTCTCGAGATGTTGTCCCACCTCTGCATGGAGAGTCGGTGGGAATGGATTGATGGCATGCTACTTGGTGGATGCTTGGCATATGGTCTTGGTGACTATCACAAGGCTATGCGATGGTACTCGCGAATCATTGCTCGCGACGCGACGTAAGAAACACCCTCCGATTTGATCTTTGATCTCCTGATACTGACTTCCTGGAATTAGGCACGTGGAGGCTATCTCTAACCTAGCCGCAACCTTATTGGCCCTCGACCGTCGAGAAGAGGCTATGCAAAATTGGCTTCGGGCCGTGAAACTTCGCCCAAGTTTCTTTGAAGCGGTCGAACACTTGATTGGACTCTTGTGTACCAGCCACCGTGGCAAGGAGGCTGTCAACATCATTGATTTTGTTCAGACTTCCTTGCGGCATCCTAAGGATGGAGATTGCTTCAAAGCCGACGAGCATGCTAGTGAGCCAGAAAGTGACGCCGATAGCAATGTGTCTGATATGGGAATGTATGACAAAGCATCGTTCGACTATGAGGACGACATGCGTCGTGTCCAGAACTTGAACCTGGGCTCGCCTGATGGCACCGCAATTGGGTTTGCAACTAGCGGATATGCTATCTCTGGATCGGACAATGGCAGAATGCTGGCTTTGGTCCATGCCAAAGGCAATATGCTTTACGCTCTCGGCGACAACAATGGCGCGGCAGATGCATTCGAGGACGCAGTTTTGATTGCGTCAGGGAGAAGACGGCATGGAATCCAAAGTCTCATCAAGCAGATATTTTCTGCGTTTTCTCACAGTCCCAACAGTGGCTACCATCAGTCGCAGCCTGGCCCCAACGAGAGTGTTCTGCTATATCCTGACAGAGCCTTGCAGACATCAAAGCTTGTCTTCCAAACGGGCGGAACACCCCCAGGTCTGAAGTATGTGACTGAAGGTATGTCTCGAAATGCGGCCATCTCAACGACCAGCAATTCTCTCTTGTCCTTGGCAAAGATCTACCAGGATGGCATGTCTACCGTCTCTTCCGGCCCACCGAGATCCGCACCCGGAGTCCGAGACATATTGGCCCTTTATTACCTCTCTCTATCCCTTCAACCGAGTCCCTCTACCGCCAATAACGTTGGTATTCTGCTTGCTGGAATCCAGAATAACCCTCCCGCAAGAGGGCTTGTTCGCCCAAATGGAGAAAGCCAGCATCCCGAAATCCCGGGCGTGATGCCTGGAAGTGGCATTTCATTAGCGTTAGCATACTACAATTACGGCTTGCACCTTGACTCCCGACACGCTCATCTCTACACCAATCTTGGCAGTCTTCTCAAGGACATCGGCCAACTCCAAGCCGCTATCAAGATGTACGAGCAAGCGGTCCAGTGTGATGGCAACTTTGATATTGCACTCGCGAACTTGGCAAATGCTGTGAAGGATGCCGGACGGGTTAATGACGCCATTTCGTACTATCGGCGCGCCGTCAATGTGAACCCCGACTTTGCGGAAGCGGTATGTGGATTAGCAAATGCTCTGAACTCTGTGTGCAACTGGAATGGCCGTGGTGGCATCACCAATGGACAAGGGTTCTGTGACCGCTGGCACGTGAATGAGCGGGGCATGCTTCGCGATGCCCAGACAAATGATAGCGGCGCCGGTTGGATCAAGCGCGTCGTGGATATTGTTGATCGGCAACTGAAGGAAGGAGAATATTGGGGCCGTGGGTTGTTGACTCAAAGCACAGCTGAGCAACTTGTCGCTCAGCTGACACCTATATTCGATTCTGGTCGTTTTGCCTCGAGTCGACAATCTTCCATTGCCAAGATTCTCCAGTCGTGGGCTGGGCAAAAATGGGAAGGGTCCCGGATCGTCCGGCTCATTGAACGTGCTACGCGGGCACTAACGTGGCAGTGGTATCAAGATCGCTACGTCTATGGCAAGGACTACCCCGTTTCCAAGTACCGTCGACCTCAGCTTCCGGCAGCACTCACCGCACCTAATGCCCCGACGGTCCTACCTTTCCATACCTTTACTTGCCCCCTCTCTGCGAAGCAAATTCGTCAGATCTCACAGCGCAATGGCCTTCGAATCTCATCTTCGACTTTGAGACTGCCATGGCTCCCCAGCACGGTGTATCGACCACCGTCGCCACCCAAACCATATCTTCGAGTCGGCTATGTCTCATCGGACTTTAACAATCACCCCTTGGCACACCTGATGCAATCGGTATTTGGATTGCACAACACGAATCGAGTCAAGGCGTATTGTTACGCTACCACTGGCAGCGACAAGTCCGTCCATCGGCAGCAAATCGAGAAGGAAGCTCCGGTATTCCACGATGCCAGTGGCTGGTCAGTGGATCGACTCGTCCAGCAAATTGTCGAGGACGAGATTCATATTCTCATTAACTTGAACGGTTACACCCGCGGGGCTCGCAACGAGGTCTTTGCTGCACGACCCGCACCGATTCACATGTCCTTCATGGGCTTTGCCGGCACCCTCGGTGCAGAGTGGTGTGATTACATTCTCGCTGATCAGGTCTCGATACCTCCCGAAACATTAAGTCCCGGGCAACGGTCGACCCACATCGAGGATCGGATTCTCGAGTGTGACAATGGCGAGGAGCTTGAGAACTGGGTCTACGGTGAGAAGATTGTGTTTACACGCGATACATTCTTCTGCTGTGATCATCGACAAAGCGCCCCTGATGCGGGAGAACGACTGATGTCGTGGGATGATGAACAAATCCGTCGCTGGCGAATGCGAAAGGAACTTTTCCCAAAGCTCGGCGACGATAAGATCATCCTTGGTAACTTCAATCAACTTTACAAAGTGAGTTTACGATTTCAGGACCTAAAGCCGTCTCGATTCGATCTAGTAACTAACCTTTCTAGATTGAACCAACTACATTCAGAACATGGCTGCGCATTTTGGCGCGCATCCCAAATGCCGTTCTTTGGCTTTTACGATTCCCGGAACTGGGCGAACAGAACCTCCGCGAAACAGCCAAGGCGTGGGCCGGTGAAGAAACGGCGTCCCGCATCATTTTCACGGACGTTGCACCGAAAAATACGCATATTGCTCGGGCCAAGGTGTTGGACTTGTTTTTGGACACACCCGAGTGCAACGCCCACACGACCGCCACTGATGTTTTATGGAGCGGGACTCCATTGCTCACGCTTCCGCGATACAAGTACAAAATGTGCTCTCGCATGGCGAGTAGTATCCTCAGCAGTGCCCTCCCAGGTTCCGAGGATGGCATACAAGCTCGCGAGGAGCTGATTGCCTCGTCAGACGATGACTACGAGGCCAAGGCAGTCCGGCTCTGTCTGGATCTCCAATACTTGCCCTCCGGTGAAGGCCGCGCCAGGGGACGTTTGGCAGACATGCGACAGATGTTGTTTATGCAACGATACAAGAATAAACTCTTCGACACGGCGCGTTGGGTTCGTGACTTGGAAGATGCCTACGAGGCGGTTTGGGCGCAATGGGTGAATGGCGAAGAAGGCGATATCTGGTTATGATGTGCACAGCGAATTATACCCCTTGAGCGATTTCTTTTATTTTCCTTTTCCATGGTTTTTGCATCTGGGACCCCCATCATTCATCTACTATCATCTTCATCTACGCAGGGAATTCATGGGATTGGGATTGGTTTGGGCTTTTATGGTCTGGTATTGGAATTGTTGTACACTGTATGGGAACATAGGCAGCACTGGAGTTGTCTTTCATTTTCATTTTCATTTTGTTTCTCTCTTGGATAGAAGTTTTTTCCATCAGGTGGCTTTCGAGCCTAGAATACTACATTCGTTCTGGCAAGATCTAAAGCACATGTTATTTGTCCTCAAGGCGGACCCTCAGAGGGCCGTACGGAATAGTGAGTAGTAGCAGTAGCTTTGCCGTCCCGAATTGCCTTGCGATGTAGATGGGCGCCCCTGAAGATAGAAGACGCCACGAATATACTTATAACACAGGAGTATGGTACCCCCTAATCGTACTATCCATCACAAACACTCGGGTTTTGGCAGCTTTACGATTGTAAATTGGGCTGCACAGCCAGGATGACGCTCGTGGCAGATGGTGGCGAAGCTCAAAGCTCAGAGCTCAGAGCTCAGAGGGACCTGCCAACTTCAGCATAGTAAACCTCAAAATGTCGAATAACAAAAAGTCAGCCTCTGAAAGAAGAAACTGTACATATTTCGTCACCGATCGAATCGATAGAACGAGATACTAGTCCAGACAGTACGGAGTAGGCGGGGATATGACCCAAAAACGAGGCAGAATAATAATAGAAGAAGGAAGATGATGATGGTGATGGTGGTGGCAGAAAGAGCACCAAGCTTTCTCCATCTTGACAACTCATAGAACCTTCCTGTTCTAGGAAGATCGGAGTGGTTTCAGGAGGTTTCAAGGCCGAAAGTAGCAAGCGACTGCGAAAGAATCCGATCGGCCACAAGGCACAAGTGCAGGTGCACTAACGGTTCATTCCGACCCGACAAACCCTAAATTCCAAATCTCAATTCTTTTCCGTTCCCCCTTTCACCCGTAGATAGTCCTCGTACTCGTAGTCTCTGGATAAAACCTGGAAACAATGCTCTTGGCTGCACTCGTATTGCATAGCCCGGGAGAAGGAATCCACTATTTTCGTATCTGCGTCTTTTTTTTTTTTTTTTTTTTTTTTGGCTTTTTTACCTTTTCCCATTGCGCAATGATTGTCGATCAAAGCTGAGCTTACTTTGGAACAACCCCCCGCTACTCGTAGGCGCGTTACAAAGAATCCAAGTTGGCGGGTCCCCACGGCACAGATTTCCTGGCACAACCCCTGTTCCAATACACCCAGAACCATGGGTTTTGTCGGCCAATATTGCAGGGGCCCCTGTCAGTGCTAGTCATGAATCAATTTTATTTATATTTTCAAAGCGGGAAAAAATAGTCAGTTTCCCATCCAGGTTAATGCTGTCTATACTTGTACGAGTAACTCAAAATCGAGTTTCCAGGCTAGTGCTCCAACAGGCGGGTACCTATAATGACTAGCCCTAATAGGGAATAGACTACAGATTCGACCGAGATCCTCCGTAAGCCAATCACAGACGAGTATTCATGCCAGAGTGATGTACATACGAGAGGACGAGTACTCCGTACGGAGTAGAGTTGTTGGCCATCGACTTATCATTTGAAATTGTGATATTGATGCTGGCGGTTTGAGATTGTCTGAGGCGATTCGGCGATCGGATCCACTAGTTTCATTTATTCCTATGTATTCTGATCTACGGAGTACGAGTATGGAACTGTAGGAGTTTGTAACTGCAGTACCATGGATCCCGGCCGTCTGGGGTAGACCGAGATATTGAAACAATGAGATGACTTCACAGGGTGAGTTTCTGGTACCCTAGAAACATATCGTAGAACCCCCAAAAAGATCCAGAACCATGGGGGGAAGCTCCCAAGTTCCCTTCTCTGCGGAGTGCGGCCTCAAAAATGGGGGGTGCGCGCGTCAAGGTTGCCGAGTCGGGCGAGAAGCAGCGTCGATCGCAGGATCCGGTGGGTTGGCCCAACGGGTGGATTGTGTATTACCGTACACATGATGCACTATTACGGAGTACAGAGTACACCTGTCAAGGATACAATACAGCATGGAAAAGGAACCCATACGAGTATACATAAACCTGTTGAGATCTTGGTTGTGATCAGTTGGATCAGCGTGAGTGTTCCATGGTACTGGCAACAGTTCGCGATGATCCTACTATGTATTTCCACCCCTTTAGCAGGCGAAAACGAGGCGATACGCTAGGGCATACACGAACATTAACCCATTCCAGATCCCTTGGCACCGTTTGCCCGTCATCGGGCGCTGGTGCCGGGAGTTGGCCCTGGCAGCGAGGAACTAGTGGCCGCCATCAAACTCTGCTCCGCGTTCTTTCACCCACTCACTCGGGTTGCCAAAAAATATTTCATTGGAATTATGATTTCCAATAAACCAGGTTCCCAGGAGAATGCTTTCTTTGTTCCAAGTTCTAGGGTATGCTATTTTTCTTTTCCAACTTGGTGGTTCTTTCATTGAGTCAAACTTTCTTATTTTCTTATTTATTTATTTTAATTTTCTTTGTCTGCCCTTTCGGTCCCACAGTGTCGGGTTATCTGATATCTGATGGAGACTGTCCATACGATGAATATTACCATTAGCTATACCGCGCTACCACTTATAGCCTGTGTAATTATGTACACATTTATACCTACAAGACGTAATTAATACCGGAGAATTTTGACCAACGCCAAATTCCAAATCACCCTTCGCTTGAACTCGGTCTCTCTGGTACTCGTACTATTGATTGCTGTGTCCCCGATGATCAGAAGGACCAGGCCGTTGGAACCGCTGATTCGATGCAGCCCACCCATCACCATCACAGGCTGTTTCCCCCTTTCGGCAGTACGGTGGTGCCGATGGCTGGCTGATGTGGTGGCGAGTAGCTGAGAACAAGGCGAAAAGGGAGCCGAGAATGTGAAGATGAAATGGCAATAGGTCATCGAGGTCGGGTGTAGGAGTCGTGGTTGGCAGACCATCCAGCTCCGCCATCTTGGGCATTCACCTCGCCTATCCATCCCCCTCTTCTGCATGTACAGACATACATACTCCGTACTCGTAGATGCCACGGAATATCCGTACGTCTGTGACGGAGTAGCCGACGCACAGCACAGCACGCGGGCAGATGGAGTCGCAGGTAAACGGCGAAAAGCGTCACAGTGGACCTCAACATCCCTCCTTTCCCCTCCTCTCCCCTCTCCTACTCCGTACACGGCACAGAAAGGAACAAAAGGACGAAAGTGGAGCTACCTCCTCTTCCTTCTTCCAGCCACACCCTACCAGGTGAGAGGAACGACCTCGAAGGTCCCCCATCCACACGTACATGAACATACAGGAACCGTCGAAGCACGACGCGCATCCTTCGTCCCTCTCCTCGCCGGGGCAGCGGGAAAACAAGACCAAGCGTGCATGATGCACGAACACCGCAATCCCACACGAATGATCTTGCCCCGCCGTTCATTCCGTCAAAAGTGACCAGTCCAATCGGGGCATGATGTGATTGGCCACTGGGGCAAGTCGGCGGGCTGGTGGGCGAGGCGAGCCGCCACTCAGACGCAGCGGGCGTTGCATCACGCAGCGATCGCGGCCAACTGGTTGGCGAGGAGGGACGTTGGTCGTTGGGGCTCCTGCAGGCGCGGACGAACCTCTCCGTTAGAGTTTCGTTGCTGGATTCTGTACTGTGAAATCTGCCCATCCACATACACTTGTGCATGTACGTGGTCCAGATCCAGAACGAGATCCAGGTCCAGCTTCCCAGGTCCAGGTGGATGCACGTCTGTCCTGTGCACCGTGACGACAGTGGGACCCGCTGTACTGTTTGAAAAAGGCGCCGTGCAGCGCTCTGGGTGGGTCGGATTGGGTCGTTCCCAACTGTACGAGAGTTCTTGCCTCTCTCTCACACACACCTTTCCCCTCATGGGCACACCCCTTGCAGTGCACCCTCGTGAGCGTTGTGAGTGGCGCATTCCTGAGAAGACCGTGGACACCTGGACGTGCGGGCGGGTAACTGATTACCTTTGCCGTGATACAAGGGCAGCTGAATTATGTACGGAGTACTCCGTACTGAAGGGAAGGCTGGCTGATGGACTCGACTCCGTACAACATCGAGGGAGGATGAATTATAGAGATCCTGGTCCTGGCTCACATTCAACATACCATGCTTCGCTGCTCATACGCAGTGGACCAATTTTTTGGGGTTACTCCAAGGAAATTGTACAGTAGATAAAAAATGTTTCAAAAGAGGGATTCAATCAAATTGAAACAACTGTCGATTCCTAATAATAACGCTGCTGGGGTATTATGCTAGTTCATCCCAAACCCGGGGGAGATCAATCCTGTCCCCCAGCCCCCCCTTTCCTGCGAAACAATGATAAACTCCGACTTGAGAGAAAAGGCCCCAGTCACATTCTCGCATAGTCCAAAAAAAGAAAAAAAAGGAAGTAAAGGAAGTAGAGAAAAAAAGGTTTCAAAGTAATAAAAAACAACCCAGATTTTTGAGGTTCCGAACCATGGTAATACACATTAAGAGTGACAAAGGAGAGTGATGAAATGAAAAGGTAACGAGTGTGGGGCTTTTGGCACATGTACAAAACGCAGGATTTGGTAGTCCGTGTGAGGGGGAATAATGAAAAGAAAAAGAAGTATAGAACAAGAAAAAAAAGCAAATATCAGATCAGAGAGTCGTACAATCGTAAATAACAAAGGAATAGAAAGAGGATCTGCACTAGATGCCTCGAGTTTCAAGATAGTTTTCGCCAAAACAAGGAAGCCCTAGTTGAGGAGGTTGTTGACTCCCATTCGGGTATCACGGGCGGGCTCTGCCGGCTGATGCCATGAAGCCAGGGTAGGCTGGTGCTCCATCCAGCGGCGTTTTGAGGCCAGGTCGGAGAGAGACTCGAGGGAGTGTGCGGGGTAGCTTTGCGGCGAGTCATCGACGACATGAACTGAAGCCACGCTAGGACGGCGAACGTCATACTGCGAACGCAGATCCACAGGTAAGGGGAGTAGTTGTGGGGAAGGAAGGGTGCGAGGTGACGAGGAGCAGACGGAGTTGTGATCGGAAACCATGGAAGGGGGTTCGGTTGAGGTAGCATTGGAGATATCTGAGAAGGCAGGCGATGTCAAGGGGGTCTCGATGGGTCGGTTGATAGAGGGAAGTGTATAGATGGGAGAGAGGTGGCGGGTGGTGGCCAAAGACTCCCGGCGGGAGTGGGAGTAGGCCTCCTCACTGCCAGAGTCGGAGTCGGCCCAAGGGCGGGTGCTAAAGCGAGGGCGAGTTGGGCTGACCACGGACGCACGAGCGTAGGGAGCCTCGATGCGGCCAGTAAATGTGCGCGAGATAGTTGGGGACGAGATACCGCGGCGCTTGCGGTTCATGCTGCCATTCCACCAATTCTTAACGGCGTTGTCACTGCGGTTACCGAGGCGGCGAGCGATCTCAGCCCAACGCTTGCCCATCTCGTTGACCATGCGTTCAATCATAAGACCCTCGTCGGCCGAAATGGGTTCCCGGTTCAAGGAGGGCTTAAGGTTCTGGTGGAAGCGTTCCCGACATTGCTTAGGCGAGCGGTAGTGCATGTGCTGAGAGATGCGGACCCAGTTGTTAGGGCCTTGTTCACGAACAAGTTGCAAGAGCAACTGATCTTCTTCAGGGACCCAGGGTCCACGACGGTGAGCGGGAGCCATGGTAAGAGGGAGGGGGAGGTTGATGTGAGGGTGAGGGTGGGGTGAGGTGAGGTGAGGTGAGGTGAGGCGAGGTTTGAAGTTGAGGTTGAGGAGAATTGTAGAGACACAAGCCACCAAGAGCAGGCCGGCGATAATTATATCTGCACCCAGGGGGACGGGTCCAAGAAAAATGTCCAGCTCCACCCGCACACGCTATGGGAAGAAGATCACGATCCAAGATCTCGGAGCTGACAGTTCGGAACAATACTGCGGATACTGTGTATGGTATGGTATGGAGTATGGAGTATGGAGTTGGGTGGGTATTTTACTACATCGAGAACACTCCCTGATATATGGAGAACGGAGTACGGAGGAGTATAATATTGCTATTAATTTGGAGGATTCAGTCACTTCTTTTTCCATCTCTTTTCCTGTTTGAACAAAGGATACCATGCATTCCTCTCTTCATCGTGTCAAAGAAAGAGGAATACAATAGAATTAGAGTAGTAATTCAAAGAAACAAAATAGATTAAATTTAATAAAATGGGATTAAAAATAAAATAGAATAAATTATAATCAAATAAAATAGATAAATAAAACCAAAATCACAGAATCAACCCAGCCCGATCCGTTCGACCCGGGAATCCGGGCTGAGGAATACCGTAATGATCGGAGGGATCGACCCTGAGCCCCGTCGTTGGAATTCCAAATCATGGCCCGCGCTAAAGTGAAGCTATTTCTTTTTTATTTTATTTCTTTTTTCTTTTTCTTTCTCCTTTCCCTTAAGAAAAAAAAACGTCCGAGCTCGGACAAAGGACTGTGCGGAATCTACTTTGGTCGTGCAGAGTCCCAAAGCGCTGGTTCGCAAGCTGGGGTAGAGTGTGACAAAAATGTAGTCGAGTTGATGATAATGATACATGCCATGCCTATTGGCCCTCACTCTGGGGAACGTTACCATGGTACTTCAAATCTGATATTGGGATAGTCATTGTGGTTCGGTCGGGTAGCGTTATGAGTACCATGGTCAAAAAGAGGGAAATAGATTATCTACTCCATACGAGTAGTTCCCTCCCTTCAACCCCCACGGAGAGTTCCAAGAACCTCTCCTCCATTCACCCCCTGACAGACACACAGACAATGGTGCTACTGTATGTTGTGGGAATCTTCCTCCCCTTCCGGGGCAGATCTTAGCTTCCTGACAAGTGACAAGCGAGAGGCGCGGTTAGGGCCACGATTCTACCTCCTGTTGTCAGCCAGCCATGCACGACACCCCCTCGATCTCATTCGATCTATGTGCAATCGTTCAACCAGCTTTGGTCATTGGTCCGATCGGTGGCTTCCTCGAGCTCCTTTGGTCCACTCAGTGGGGCGCGAGAAGGTGGAGCTCGGATCGTGTGTCGACAAATTCTCTACCCGCCATGACCTGAAGAAGGATCACTTCGAAATAATACGGGGACGACCCCCCCCAAAATTAATAAATTCAAAAAAGGGGTGATCTGATCAAGAATAGAGTCTGAAAGATCTGAAGCCATCAACGGTGACGCCGTATCCAGCTGTCTCCAGCTGAGCCTCGTCCACCCCGAGCAAATCCGAAGGCTAAATAGTACCTGGAATGTGGATCGAGCGTTGCACGTCTCCCAGACATTGAGTACCCCTTTTCCCGTGGTTCCTTCGTCTGTGTGCCTTGCAGCGATCGAACTGATCGAACCCACGAACCCTCCCGTAACGCTGTGACTACTGTCGGAGAGTACATTGTACATACATTCTCTCTACGCCGTACCTATTCGAATTCCTCTATCTTTTAGTGACGGACGTACTGCAACCCTTCACTTCGCTTATGCAAGTAACTACATATAGTACTACACATGAAGTTAGTCCCTGTGTTTGAATCTAAAGTAAGTATGTGCATACAGACACACCCGTCACTAAGACCAGAACCAGAAGGGGAAAAAAACCCCCCAAAGCAGGGGCCAGCTGCCACCTGTCACTGGCCTGAGGATGATCTTTGTCCGAACCTGACGTGATGGTATCCCATTTCTACGATGCGCCCTCGAGGGGAGGGACCCATTTAGCGATGAGTAGATCGGAGGATCGTCCACTCGCCTGCACGCTGCGTGCAATGAGCTGTCGGAACTGGCCCCTGGTAACCAATCTATTTCCCGTCCTTCTTCCCACTATTTCCACCCTAACGTTTTGGAGCCACCGGATTTTTGCGCTGACCCGATGCATTGAATCGATCGGGGCTAGAGGGATCGCCCTTGTCTGTGGGATACCTGGTTAGGTCTCCTGCAGCTGGGTCCCCACACCTGGTGGAAACCGTTGAACAAAAATGCCGTCCCAAGCCACACCTTTTTTGCTTGTTTGTACCATACACTCCACTCTGGGCGCGTAACAAACGTAAATATCGTTAGTGGGATACCAGGTGGCGTCTGGATGACCTTGCGGTGGGGTCTAACGAACCACTTTTGCCGCCGGGGATTGGTCCCCAGGTATTTGTCATTGTTGTCGGCTCGTTTGGGCAAGGATAGGCCTAGCGGATATCGACAGGCCCCAGGACAATAATGTCGATAATACGGAGTACATTCGTACATACTTAATCTATTCCAGACGGCTTGCCCCAGAGCGGGTGACTACTAGATGCTAAGAATAAAAACGGGGAAGCCTTCGTATGAAGGCGAGAGTTGGTCGGTGGAGTCAAGTCAGCTTCTTGTCTCAACACTAAACAGAGATAACCCCTTATTCGAAGGTGGCTTATGTCTCAATCTGATATGGGGGGTGGAAACGACTATTGTTTGATGATTTAATGATTTGCGCCTTAGGGCCGACGACAGGTGGAAGACAATGCAAAACACACCACCGTCTGAGATCATGAAGTCATCTCCCATTCGGGAAGTGCAGTAGATTACTCCGTACCAGGCCATGCAAGATCCCTCAACCTCGTGTGGACCGATCGGACTCTCCCACAGATCCGGGTAAAAAAAACAAGTAGTAGAAGAGACCATTGTCAACAACAAAACCCGACTTCCTGGGATGCAACATCGACTAGGGTCGAGTCGAGATGTGACCTGTCAGGCTATTCCCCACCAATCAACGACACGGCAAGTATTTGAGATAAATCCCTGTCGGTCTGCAGGGATCACCGCTGATCACGCCCGTGCACGTTACGACAGAATCCGAATCCAAGAATGGGCGCAACAGGATAGGGGAATTCAGAGGAGCGGGAGAGAGTGTGCTACGGGAACTAGAGTGAGTCGGAGAATTCACAAGCTTGAATGCCATTCAGCTCGATCTTAAAACATACAAAGAATATCAAAAAGGGGGAGGGGAAGTGAAGGAGAAGGACATGTGCCAGTGTCAAACAAGGACCAGAACATGAACCACCCCCAATTAAAGGTGGACCGAACGGCCTCGCATCCGCCGCTGCTTCCTGACTGTCGGGCCTCCCACGCTGCGCAGCGGGGGGAGGCCCGAGCGCATCACGTGGAGATCATGCCCTACTTTAGGCTGTTGCACGCTGTGTTACCGAGAGCGAGAGCGAGTAGCGAGTAGAGAGAGAAAGAGAGAACCGGAGAAGTGCATGGACTTAGCACGCGGAGAGACTTCGCTGCAGGACGGCCATTTGCGAATATCAGGAGTAGTCGCGGACTAGGGTCCAAACGGAGGCATTGGTGCAGGAGATGTTTGAAATTTGCCATCTCAGGTATCTGGGCTAACCCCCTGAGCTCCTGTGATTGGCCAACAACTCTCGGGCTTCATACTCGGGGACCACTTTTTATGGTGCCCGATCGGTGGGAAACCGTTTTGGCTTCGATCCTCAACGGGCGTGAAGAGCCTGGGTGCTAGTCCTATGCTGTCACTGGTCCCGCAGCTGGTGCTGCCGCTGGTGGCGTATGTGTACACAGGGGGAGAGGGACATGGATCCACCCGTTGGAGCCGTTTTTGTGTTTTTCTTTTCTTTTTATGCTTTAGGTTGTCATCCTTCATCCTTCGTCTCTTCACACTGTACCTATATAGGGAGGTACATACTTTCAACATAGGAAGTACGAGTACTTATTGAGTAGTCAGTTACAGACAGGGGATGCACCCATTAGTAAGTTACCCAAAACCATACAGTATCCATCGCCATACCTCGTATGTATGTATGTATGTATGTATGTATGTACGATATGTACATACAGAGATACAGGACCCTTCCACGCTGACGGTGGAGCCTTCCTTGCAATACTCGTACCAGCAATAGATGTGATACCGAGTACGAGTACTCACCAGCAGTTCGTCTCCTGGCCCTTGACGATGGAAACGGGTCAGCGCCCCGCCCGCAAGCCGTCACCTTGGTGGGCAGGGCCCGCTGACTGGCTCTCTCAACACGCTGGATGGGTTTGACAGCGGTTCCACGAACCTGTTCGCTTGCGCCCGTGTCCCCCGCTGTCACCTCTTGGTGTTCTCCTCTTTGCTCCATCCAGAAGGATTTGGGGAGGAGAAAAGAGGGGGGCGCCTACCAGGGTCTACCGGGAAAGATTCCCAATTTGATCATACAATGAACGGAACTCCTCCGTTAAATACCCTCAAGAACGAGTAGAAAAGGGAGAACCAGAAAGAAAATTCTGACAGGCGACGCCGAACTGTCTACCTCCACCACCCCGACTAGACCGGGTAAGTTAGGCTGTCTATCACTGGGGCATAGTGGGATCAAGTGGGATCAGTGGCCGCCCCCTTGGGCCCCCCCCAGGACTCTCTAGAGCCAACCACGTTGACCACTCGCCGCCGGCCCAACCCTATCTACCCGGTCCAAACTCAATCGGAGACGTCGAACGAACTTCCCAGCGCAAAGGTACCCATGACATCTAGCGCACGTCCTTTCCGTCCTCTTTGGCTCTCGGCCTTGTCCAACTCACTTCCTCACTTCCAGGAATATTGACTTTATGTGAACGATCACCGTTGAGAAAGTAACTTCTTTCCGGGTTGCTCCCCGTTTGGACCTTGTGTGGCTCTTTGACTATCCCCCCCTTTACCTCCCGCCCCTATCCTGGGTCTTAGTCTGTGATACGGGGCGGGAAGCTGAGAGTTTAAAAAAAAATAAAATAATAATAATAAAAAGAACTCACCTACGGAGCATGTATTGATCTGGGTAAAGGGGCGGCGCTGTGGATGTTGGGCGAACTGGTGGACTAGGCGATGTGGAGCTGCGGAGTGCACGGCAGGTGTCATGAGAGTTCCAGCCGGGTCTTTTTTCTCTCATTCTAGCTTTTTTCTTTCCGTTTTCTTTTCTTTTTTTCCCATACCATCGGGGCGATATTCATTCATTGAGGTTCTCGATTTTTTCTATGATCGGCGCTTCGCGAGCAAAATTTACGTATCGTATATTGTCGAGCCGAGCAGAGTGAAAATTCGATCGAAGCTAGTCCCATCACCGAGCATCCTCGGAGCTCCCTTTAAGCCGCACCTGGGGGCCAACTTGGTCATTCTATGTAACAGGGAGCACGGTCTGCAATGCCTCCTTGTGGAATAGTGGGGATGTCGTGTGTTGGTGGCTACACTTTTGATTCCTAGTTAGGTTTCAGAGCTTTAAAACGGTGCTTTTGTAATGCTCCTAACTATACTCCGTAGGGGATGGCAAATCTCAGCTTGGCGCAGTCATGGCCTTGTGAACGGCAGTCGATCTGCGTGTGTTGAGAGTCCTGGTGTGGATTGAGTACATGGGTTGTCTCCATACTGGTCCCTGCCATGATGCAATAGTATGCTCGGATCAGCCGAGGTCTGCCGTGTGGCCAACTCCGAGTCTCGACTCAGACTATTTACCATTTTGGTATAGTACCCACGTGATGTTATAATTATGCAAATCCCAATATACTTGTCGATACTACTAGAATAACTTTGGGGTTTTTGTACCTATCAATCCAATTTGAACGGAAATTGGTATTATAAGAAATGCTTTGCCTGGATCACATTAACGCCTTCTAAACCGAAGCAACAATCGCAGTCTAGACCTGTTGAATTCCTAGAGTAAACTACCGCCCAGGTGTCTCATATTCCCGGCCCCACCAGCTCAACGGGACGGGATAAATATCTACCAGAAACTGGCATGCATTTACTAGGGCCTGGAACACCGGCTCTAACCTAGTACCGCGGGAAGTTACCAGGGAATACGGAATACTGTGGTGATAGATGAGCTGGGAACGCCGCCACCCATGCTGATCTAGCGGGGGCTCCTCAGCCCAAAGCCGACCATCGTCCATGGTGTACGCCGCCTGCAAGCCACACCAGTCAGATCGCTGCACAGGCGAACACGGTCGGCTGCCGCTCTTCGCACAGAGAAAGTAACACGCCGTGGCAAAATGACACCACACATGGGCAATTCCCATGGGGAAACGATGGAACAATTACCGTACCGCAAGGGGAATCCAGTCATGCTCGTGGGGGAGGGGGGTGTTTTCCCGGTAACGGGAACGGGCTTGAGACAAGAAACGAGGGCGTTGATGCAAGGGATGGATGCGAGAAGGTTGGGTGATCAGGAGATCAGGAGATCAGTAGATGCAAGGTTTGCACCGTTTAGGTTTGACGGAGGTCTGTCATCTTTTGCTTTTTTATTTCCCCTTTCTGCTCCTTGTTAGGCTGGGGATACATTTTCCATCCATTATTGAAGGCCAAAGTTTGAGTCTGTTACACACTGCCAAGATCGAATCGGCCTGCTGCCGGGCGAGGCCATACTTTGTTTTCTTGTTCGGAAGACTGGACCAACTGAACATGTCCAGCTAAAATTAAGATTCCGTTTCGCAGAAGATCAGGGGTTTCTGGCCTGGACGCAATGCGGTTATCTTTTTGCATTGCCATGAAACCGAGACCATGGTTCTAAGCACCATGTGGCCCGCACCAGGAAGCCTGCAGCATGCACAGCTAAAGAATGAGAACCTGAAGTGATGAGACTCGGGAACTGGCATGTTTCAAACAATCCCCCTCTTCCCAATAACCACGCAGAGTCTAGCGTCATTGATCTTCATGGTTGCCCGTGCGGCGATCCAGAAAGAAACTACCTCGTTCTCTGCACCACCGTAGATCAAATTGTATTTGGCTGCCGATCTCTCTCTCAATCATATACGGAGTACGGAGTAGTATGTATATGATTCATCACTCCAAATGCGCACCCGGAAGTAACTGCCGACGTAAATGTACCTAACGAGAACTCTATCTGGTGTGACAGTGATGACCAAGAAAACCTGGTGGTGGGAGGTCCTAGTATGTCAGGAGGTGTCTTAGTTCGGGCATGCGCTCTGATCTCATCGTTTGGAGGCGAGACACGCCTCCACAACATGGGGTAGATTCTGGTGAGGGCTTTTTACTATTCGATTAGCTTGTTTAAGAGTGAATTCGTGTGTCTCGAAGCCGAGGTTGGGGCTTGATGCATGGAATTGCTGACAATCAGAGGCCTGTTCGCTGCATCTATCTGAACTTTACACCTGAACTAGTTGTATGTAATAGATTGCATGCATCTGACAAGGTAATCTGGATTACGACACTCGTATAGGCTCCCAAAAGGGCGTAAAAATGACCATTTGGAGACAGGGACAGCAATGAGCTGCCGGGTAGCCAGACTAACTCGGTCTTCTCAGACACGGTAGAAGATGGGGATTGTCTCAATTGGGCAATCCACCTCGATCTGTGCTGCCGCCCTCGTACACACCGGGGATGCCACTTTGGGAGGCGCTTGTCTTGCCCCAGAGAGTCCAGTATGCGCCGACTGGAAGATAGACAGTGATCTTGCGTTGACCAGGCTCAAGGACTGGCACAACTAGATACCGCGGCCCAAACATGTACGCTGTCTCAATCTCCCAGGCCCGTTGATCCTGGGGAAATTCGTAGAAAACTGTTCGCATCACTGGTGTACCTTTCTCATGCGCCTCTTTCATTAATCCCCGAGTATAATCGCGTAGCTCCTCACGAAGTCCAATGAACTTCTTGCAAATCTCGTAGATTTCGTCGCCATATGACCATATCTCATTATCTGCCCCACTGGCAGTTGGCTGTCCTTCTGGCTTGGGCTCACGATCCCCATGTAATCGCATCACAGGACAAAATGTACCCCATTGAAACCACCTAGCAAACAGCTCACGGAATTCTGGGTCGTCTGGGTTGCCGCCATGAAACCCACCAATATCTGTGGTCCACCATGGAATACCTGCAAGTCCCATATTCAATCCTGCTGCGAGTTGATTTCGGAACGAACCCCACGAGGATGCAATGTCACCACTCCAGACCAACGCACCGTAGCGTTGACTGCCGGCCCAGGCACACCGGAGTAAGTTAACGATGTTTTTTTGACCTTCCGCCTCCATACCTTCGTAAAATGCGCGAGCATACTCCTTTGGATAGATGTTTCCAATCTGAAGATTACTCCCAGCGTGATAACGGAAGATATCGAAATCGTAGATAGAATATTCGGGCTCAGCCTCATCAAGCCAGAATATTTTGATTCCATGCTTATAATAGTTATTCTTTGCCTTATTCCAAACATACTCACGGGCCTCTGGATTAGTGGCATCGAAGTGAGTGATATCACCATCACATTGCATTGCAACTCGCAAGCCACGATCATGTCGAATCAAGAGACCGCGTTCCAGCATTTCGGGGTAGTTCTCCGATTTATTCTCGACTGTCGGCCAGACAGAGACCATCAGCTCTACCTTGAGCTCTTTAAGCTCTTGAATCATTGCGTCTAAAAGAACGTGAGAAGTAGTCAAAAGCTTCTGATAAGGATATTGCTGATTTACCAGGATCAGGCCAAAATTCTGGATCAAAGCTCCATTCTCCTTGATGCTTCCAATGAAAGAAATCAATCACGATCAAGTCTAGAGGAACCTCACGGCGATGATATTCTCGAGCAACGTTCAGCAATTGCTCCTGGTTCCAATAACGCAGCTTACACTGCCAGAAGCCCAGTCCATATTCCGGCATCATTGGCACATATCCAGTTACATTTGCATAGTGTTCTTCAATTTCGGCTGGGGTATCGCCGGCAACCACCCAGTAATCGAGGGCTCGCGTGGAATATGCTTCAAAGCTCATAACGTTCGTCCCGAGCATTGCACGGCCGATACCCGGGTTATTCCATAGAAAGCCATATCCTCGAGATGAGACCGCAAATGGAACACTCGCCTGGGAGTTTCGGTGTGCTAGTTCCAACTCCGTACCTTTGAGATTCAGGTAAGGTTGTTGATACTGCCCATGCCGAAAATCTTCTCTCTCCGATCCAGAGATTCGAAGCGCATGGTAAGATGATAGTCACCGCCAAGTATGGGCCGTAGTTCGCGTGCCTCAATTTCCAGGGCACTACATTTAGGATCACGGGGGTCTCGTCTGTGACGTGCGTATTCTTCGAGAAGCTTGGTTCCATTCGAGTCGTAAATGATGACCTTGCCTCGTGGAGAAACTGTGGCTTTGATTTTTCCATGAGTTATGCATGCATCTTCCCCATCTGGTATATCTATATTTACGCGTTGGTTTGAAGGCTTGAATGAGAGAGCCCAGTCTTCTGTTGGCATCGATGATAGCTTGGTGGCTCGCACGCGGAACGCATTTTCGCCCCAAGGTTCGATCCAAAGAAGGTGGTCGTCAAAACGAAAGACGAGCTTTTCATCCTCCGAGTATAGCATCTTGCATTGATGTTATAATGTGTTGAGTGGTTGAAATTAAGCGAGGTTGTGGTGGTGAGGGGACGTCAAGGTTGGACGAGTAGGTTGTACCAGTGGGGTCTGTGAGGGGTCCAAAGTCCCAGCTAAAAAGAACACGGCATAGTCTCCGTGTTGAATTAGACTAACCTTGGGATTTTCTGGTTCATGATATGCATATCAGTGAGGTGCGATCACATTCTTCTTTCACGTTTGCTCGTAAGGCAGTAGTCATACTACTAGTACTAGTAGTATTGGATATGTCATTCAAGTCCGGAGCGGGATTGTATACTTGAAACAACAGCGTACCTATATTAATTCACCAATAGTGTGATCGCCGCAATATACTATTGGTATATATATATATATATATTTATACACAAATAGATCCTACTTTGAAACCTTGGAAGGTTTTATTACCTTCCAAGGTTCGATTTATGAGTCAAATCTGACGACTGATCCTTTTGCATCCCTCTTCCTTGGGGGCTTAACAGAGTATTTCTGAGGGCCAGGGTGGGGCTGTGATTTGTACACAAAGCTCCTGTCCAACTTCTTACAATGCAGGATATCGGGATGCTAACAATTAGTCGAAAAAGCTGGATTGATTAGTACCTGTGAGACTATAAAGGGCGCATTTTGAACCTCAACCATCTGCTGCGTTTAGCCCCCAACCGAACACAATTGCTGACACGTAGCATACCCAGCTGAGATGGGGTGAATTGTCACTAAATAAGCACATTGAGTCAAACCCAAGGAAAACCACGGTCATGTTGCGTTTGTCCTTTGAAGTAGTAGTATTAGTAGTAGCTACTAGTATTGCTGAGGGCTTTTCCCTCCATCCGAAGGAGCGACAGATATTATAAGCTCCCCTCTTCCCCCCCCATAATAAGATGATCGACTTGAAAACTACGTTGATGATTCTTGAACAAGCATAATTCTGATATATTTCGAGAGGAATTTATATTATTATGACTGCTTCATTAACTTGAAGCATGAGTTACCCAACCTGTGTAGATAAAGTTGGCTATGCGGTCTGTGCGGAGACTCTTGCGGAGAGCTGACAAACCCCTTCCGGGATTTTCAATTCACACCCGTTCCCTTCCATTCTAGCTTGCGACATTCGAAACATTATAACCCATGGCGGACACATCTGCCAATGGCGATCGGCCAATTGCCGATGCCTCCATGGACATCGACATGGACATTGACCTAGGTCCCGAGCCCGAGCTTGAGCCCGGCGTTGAGCTAATCCAAGCTGTGAGTCTTCCCAGCCACATTGCGCTGGTCATGCGCGGGCGATACTGATACCCTGTTGTTATCATATAGGATTCGGCTACACAAGCTGAGCCTATAGATCAGCTTGCTGAAGAAGCAATCTACGAGAAAGTCCACGTGCGCGGCGTGGATGAGATGACCACCGAGAATATCAAGCACTTCGCCCATAGCCACTTCGACCAGGAAATGCCAGCTCGCATCGAGTGGATCGACGATACATCCGCCAATATCATATATTCTTCCCCGGAGATCGGTCTGCAAGCGCTCGCGGCCTTGACGCAAGTCGGCGAAGAGGGGGAAGATGGGTCGGCCCTCCCACCTCTCCGTCTTCGGTCGGCCAGGCTTCTACCCTCCCACCCAGATTCGGTACTCCAAGTGAGATCGGCTGTGAAAACAGATCGCAAACAGGCACGCGCCCACGAAAAGAGTCGATTCTACCTTATGCACCCCGAGCACGATCCCCGCGAACGCCTGCGGGATGAACTTTCGGACCGAAGACGCGGGGACGACGACGGTTACCGAAGACGTCGATTTGACGACCGAGAACTGCGCCGGCGCAAGGACCGCGATCACGATGACCGATTCAGTGCCAACATGTATGACGATAACCCAGCGAGCTACTCCGACTCGGAACGCGACCGTGGTGATCGGAGACGACGCAGATCGCGGGAATTGTTCCCGGAGGATGAGGGTTCCTCTGGAAGACTTCGTAACCGCAGCGCCTCGCCAGGCCGAGATACGCTTGATGATACAGGACGTATCGAAGCCAGCAGTAACCGCAGGCCGTTCCGTGAGCGGTCTCCCCGTGGAAACAAAGGACGAGAACTCTTCCCATCGGATTCGGGTGCCCGTGAACTATTCCCCAATAAGCCCTCATCAAGCTATCTCAAGAAAGAGCTGTTCCCGACCAAATCAAGCAACCACCGTCGATCCGATGCTTTCGATGCCGCAGATGAGACACCGGATCTTCTCGGCCGCAGGATTACTGTCCCATCGAATCGCAATGTCGAGCTGTTCCCCGACTCAGCGAAGGAGGACCAGGGGTTTGCAATGAGAGGTGGGCAGCAGGGCATGTCGATCAAGGGCCGAGGTGCATCGGTTCGCGAATTGTTCCCAGGCAAGTATAACAATAACAGCAATGCTGGAAAGGAGCTGTTCACCGAACCCCTGGAGGGACGTGGAGGCCGTCGGCGAAAAGCTGAAGATATGTTTGGTTGAGTTGGAATCTTCCGAATATATCGTGTTATAGGTCAGATCTAAAGGAAGAGCATTTTTATTTCATCGTTTCATGAGGGATTCATCGGCAGCATGGTTCGATATGGCGTTGCTGGGAGAATTTTGGATAGAAATTGCAAGACGCATGCTTTGTTCTGCGCTCCAAACAAACGTTTATGTATAGTAATATCTCTTCTTATTTATTCCCAAACAAGTGACAAAAAAAGAATCAAAAGTCAAAATTCTGAAAGCTTTCCAAATTGTCAATATGGTGGGATAAAAGTTGTCCGCTTGAAGGATAACCCGCCGAATATCAACGTGGCGCCACAACCAAATTGCATCTCAACTTCAAATCTCTGCAGGCCGCAACCAAGTGACCATGGCACCGACCGCACCGATAGAAGTACTCACAACCGCACTGGTTGCGCGGTTTTTGAGGACGAACAATTACTCAGAGACCCTCAAAGCTTTGATTCGCGAGGCCGGACTTGCTTCCGACGTGGGGCAGAGCTCGGGCGACGACACCAACAACTGGACCATCCAGGGCCTGCTGGAGGAGAAGAAGGCCTATGATCACAGTGCGAACTTCGAGCGATACGGAAACGATAACAAAGAGACTGCTCTATGGAGCGAGCCAGGTATGGGTTGACTATCATTTTGGGATATGTAGCAACGGCGTACTGGCACAGGCTGACCAATCCACAGCACCAAGTAAACCAAGCATTGTGTCAAACCCGACATCGTCGAACCTTCTTGCAGCATCAGTTGAGCCGTGGCAAAAACCTCGTGATGACGAGACACTAGTCCCATCAGCAGGGCCGTTCATTGTCTCCACGGGAGCTGATAGACAGGTGCATCTACTCGAGACTGCGGCTGGAAATGCTCAGTTTGCTTCCTTCTCCGGTCTATCCGACTCGCCTGTGCTTTCCTACCTGTCGATTTTGGAGGGTCGCTATGTACTCATGACCAACATGTCGGGACAGTTGCTTCTGCAGCACGGATCTCGCACGCTTGACAGCAGGAAGGACCATGCAAAATATGCTGTCAAGGTCGTTGCCCACAAAGATCGCAATGACCCAAACGTATTTTGGATTGCAACTGCTGGCTGGGACTCAAGTGTAGTCTTATATCGCTTGCATACCCCGGATGAGGTCGATGAGGATGCACCTTCACCAGTGCTCGGGGAGCCCGTTGCCCGCATCAAGACAACGTCAAACCCGGAGTCTATAGTTTTTGTACCCCATGTCGATACAGGCGAGCTGATTCTGCTCGTTTCCCGCCGCGACTCGTCCTATATCTATTACTACGAGGTTGAATCAGTGCCAAATGAGACCGGGAATCAGAGTGCAACTGATTTCGAGTGTCGCCTCATGGGACGTCAGAACCTAGCACCCCATTCCAACGCCTGGGTTGCTTTCTCTCCAGCCCACATGGCACTCAGCCCTCACGACCCCGGTCTTTTGGCTGTTGCTACCTCGACATTACCGCACTTGAAAGTGATTATCGTGCGTCTTCTATTCCCATCCACCGAGAGAAAGGATGAATCGAATACATCGACCTCAGATGTTGCAGTCACCCAAGCTTCTCAGGCGTTGGAAGCTCTGGCACTGCAGAACAAGGAAGATGCAGCCATTCTAGTCCAGGCCAATACCTTTGCACCGCAGACAGCATACTCGACTCCGCAAGTTGCATGGCGGCCTGACGGCTCGGGAGTCTGGGTGAATGGCGATGATGGTGTGGTTCGTGGTCTCGAAACGAAAACTGGGAAGATTATAATCATGCTGAAAAATGGACATGAGCCGGGCTCTAAAGTGCGCTCTGTTTGGGCGGGATACGTCGATGTAACAAAGGAGGGCAAGGACTCAATCCGAGAAGAATGGGTCATTAGTGGCGGGTTTGATAAAAGGTTGATTGTTTGGCGGGTATGATCTTCATGTACATACACCTTCTTGGTTAAACTTATTTAAATGCTGAGGAAAGATTGATTATATGGAAATATCGTATGACATCACATGAGTCTGGATAAAACTTGATATTGATTGGAAACAAAACTAAGATACTGCTTACGAGGATTGTAGCCGTCCATAAGATACCCACCCGTTCGCCACGAAAATGCGAAAAGGCTATAGGTAAAGAAGGGGGCAGGGGATCCGTTCTTGGCACGTAATAGAAAAATCCTTCAGCAGGCGCGCATAGAAAAGCACGTTGCTGTACACACATATGCCGTGTTGATGATGGGGGGAAGGGGACTCGAGACCTAAGCTCGAGAGCGAGAGTGGAAGTCAATCCTCCGCGCGACAGAAATAGTCCTGAACGCAGAAAGACGACGCAAGAAGCAAACTAGATTCGCGTGAAACGGAGAGGAACAGAGCAAAGGGAAATAATCCCGCTCAAGGATTGGCGTCACTGCGCCTTTTTCGAATTTAAGCCTGTTGGATTTCTGTTTATCAAACAACCCCGAACATGCCGCGCAAGGACTAAGCAGAAAACCAGGCCTTATTCGAATGAGCGGACCGTTCGTTGGTCATCGCACGTTATTGTCCCCGTGTCCTTGCGCGCTCGCTTCTCAAGCCATTTCCATTTTTCAACGTCGTCAAATTTATGCCTGCTCACGCTTGCCCTCCTTGCGCTCCTTCTGTTTCATTTGTTAGCGTATGTTCCGGTGGAGTATTTCGACAGCTTGGAATTGTCGAGAGTGGGGTGCTGAGGCGTATGGTTGAACGTACCAGGGCCTTAGCGGTGCCGTGAAGAGCGTGACGGTGGTTGCGGCGGAACTTGGGGTCGACACCCTTGAGGGAAGGGTAACGGTTGGTCTTGGGCTTCTTGATACTGCACAGGAAATCAACATCAGTGACTGGTCGGAGTGTAATTGCGAGGCGAAGCATGAAGCGTAGTGGTCTGGCATGAAGCTGAAGGTCGAAGGATCTCGTGTCGGCTTGAACTGATACTTCAAATTGACTTAACTTGCAACACCATGTTCAAGTTCAACCAGTCGATCTCCTCCCCCTTCAATTAAAGCCAAATGACCGCGGTGCATCGTAAACGAATCTTCAAATCGGTTCATGCCGGAGGGATCGAGATATGAGGGGATACGCACCCGTTACGGTGAGCCTTCTGGCTGGCGTGGTGCTGGGACGCGTTCTTGGACTCTGTAGAGCGCAAAAATGTCAGCGATCGATTATTTTTTTCATGAAGGGCGTAACGAAGGCCCTCATATGCCTGGAAAACGTACTGGCCATCTTGTCGGATGTTGTCGTTAATTGACGTGGACGGGATGGTGGGAGAAGAGTTAGTGACGGAGGCGGCCCAAAATGGAGGTCGGCTAGGGCTTGTGCCGTTTGTGTGGGATCTCGCTTACCGCCGTGGTGCACGGACGTTTCACTATGGGCTGGACTCAGGATCGTGCTCCCCCAGGCATATCAGGGGTCAAAATGCTGGAGAAGGATTGAAAGAATTCTGTCCTATTTACTCTGATAAAACACGATTTTAATACTCCATCATCAAGGGCAACTAGATCACTTCTGGTGAAGCTCAAGAAAACTTCAACATCACGTGACTACACGGATACAATTCACCACGTGATCTTGAACTATAGAGGCGCGTGAAGGTCAATGTAAGCTTTCTTCTTGACTCGGACTCTCTATAATGCCTCGATGCATTTGAGTAATCCAATTGCGCAAATTATTATCCAAATTGGCTGGCGATTTGTTTGAATTGCCGATCCCCTTTGGTATCATGTATTTGAACACGATCGAGCGTCTCCGCTCGGGAAATACCGTGACAAATAATTCAGTAGACAGTAGATGTCGAGATAGCAATTCGAGAATAAATAAGTCGAAACATACGAGTAGTTCTACTCTGAACCTTGGAAGGAGTAAGAAGTATATATCCATTCACGGCAATGCAAGCATGAAGGGCTGGCCTCAATATTGAGCCCTTGTTCTTCTACGAGATGGAATTTCTTCAGGGCGATAACGATGGAACAAAAGAAAGAAAGAAAGCAGAATAGTGTAGTAGAAAGTTGAGATAGACAATGCTGACACAACCCAGTGAGCGTCACTGAATGGTTCAACACGAGATAGATACTCTATGTACTCTGTAGTGGCAGTAGTCGGAAGTACAAGTGTTGATCCCGGGTGGTCTCACCACGTGACCCGGAGCGCCGGTTGTTCCCTAGCGCGGTCCGACTTCGACCTTTGCAACGCAGACGCATCAATCAAGAGGGATCCCTCCAGCCGTTCCAACCCCCAATCATTGCAAGATGAACTCCTTCCGCTTCGCTCGCTCTGCCCTCCGGGCCCGTCCCTCCATGTTCAGCGCTCCTGTCCAGCGCCGTGGATACGCCGAGGCCGTTGCCGACAAGATCAAGCTGTCCCTGACCCTTCCTCACCAGGTACGTTGAACCTCCCCGGACTGACCTCCGCCCGCGGAACTGTAGGCTAACTTTGTATCTCTTTGATAGACCATCTACCGCTCGACCGGCGTGTGCGTTTCTCCATCCTGCGCGCCCACCTCTGTCCCTCCCTGAATACTGACGAAACTTTTGCGACCACAGGACCCAGGTCAACATCCCCGCCGCCTCCGGTGAGATGGGTGTCCTCGCCAACCACGTTCCCTCCATCGAGCAGCTGAAGCCTGGTCTCGTTGAGATCCTTGAGGAGGGTGGTGCCACCAAGCAGTACTTCCGTATGTCCGACCTTCGATCCTATACTCGACCCGATAGAGAAATGTCGACAGCGAAGTGAAGAGATTACTTAGCTAACAACCGACGCAGTCTCCGGTGGTTTCGCCGTCGTCCAGCCCGACTCCCAGCTGAGCATCAACGCCGTCGAGGGCTTCCCTCTGGAGGACTTCAGCGCCGATGTAGGTTTCCTTGATACTTCACGAACCCGCGGATAATAGTGATGAATGAATTATACTAACTCGTGTCTCCTCTCAGGCTATCCGCAACCAGATTGGTGAGGCTCAGAAGATCGCCAACGGCAGCGGCAGCGAGCAGGACATCGCCGAGGCCAAGATTGAGCTTGAGGTATGATAATCTTCAAATTAGCTGCCCAGTGACCCAGCATATACTAACTCACCAATAGGTTCTCGAGACCCTGCAGGCCCTCGTCAAATAGATGTACATATCCACTTGCGCACTTCCCATCCGTTTGAACGTGTAGAATTACAGCAATTCGAAATTTCTTTTTCATCCAATTGGATTCTCCTTTCCCTTTTTTTCGTTTTCCTAAGGTCGATTTGTTATGAGCTCCTTCCCGTTCTGTGGTAGATGGGAGGTACTTTCCCCCGGTGTATCCTCCAAGTCTCGTGACTCCCGCGACCTCCCACAGCTAAGCTGCTACTAGTATATTCTAATCGAACTCTCGACTCTGAGCTACTCACTTCTCCTTCCCCTTTGCGCATCAACCATGCGATCTGTGAAACACCCTCTCGGAAGCATTGACACTCGTCTCGCCATGACTGATTCCCTTGTGGACGATCACCTTCATTCCCCGTCTTTCGCTTCTATGGTATTCATGGACGGCATGCAGCCTGGTAACCAGGGGACAGAAGAAACGGATTTCCTAATGGACTCTCACTTATCATTGCCTGTTCAACGTCCCGGAAAACGATACCCCCACCTCGAACTTGATGTCGCCATGGACAAGTATCATACCCTGGATGGTTTCGCTGAGCCTCTGAACCCCCAGAATACCCCGGCTTCACACACGTACAGTGGCTCTGGCAGTCCGCAAGACACTTGTCGCCGTATCAAGACCGATAGTCTGCGGACTAGCTCTGCCCCTCAGGCATTGTTCATCGACTGGTGTCCCCCTGGTAGCTCACTGAACCTGATTGACAATGACGATCTACTAAACTGTCAATCCCGACGCTTCTCCGCAGATGATGAGCCACGTTCTACTACCCCAATTACTCGGATAAAAAAATCTGGCAAAGCTGCAGAGTCTCATCCCAAAAGGTCTTTGGCTGATATCATCTCGTCCGCAAGATGTGTTCGATTTTCTCCACCCCCAACGCCGCCTGGACACTCGCCGCGCCCAATCCAACGCCCTCTGCCCTCAATCGAACGAAAGAACGACTACATTGCTTCATTTCGACAGCAGAAGCAATTTGAAAAGTGGAGAGTGGCAGCTCGTGCCAAAAGCCAAAGGGCCTCTCCGTACCGCAGCCCCAAAAAGTTTTCACGACCAGTGTCGGTTCAACTGAACGCCCAACCTGAGATTTGCTTTTCACCCTCCAAGATGCCTCTACATCAAGACACTGACTCTTTCGGCAACTCGCAGTCTCAGGAACATACTGAGACGTACATCCCTCCAGATGAAACCATCACCCCTACTACACATCAACGACAACTATTCAAATTGGTCGCCGTGTCTCTCTCCCTTCATCATATTCGAAACGCTACCAAGTCCTCTGAATCGGGACTGCGAGCAATGAACCTCCAGTTGTCATACTCGCTTCGGCCTATCGGCACTCGCCTTCAAGACGAGGAAGCGCGGAATGTCGTGAGCTGTGCTACTATGAACGACTTGCTCCTGTACATCTTTTTCATTGTACCTGAATTCGTCCTGCGTGGGCCACTTGCCATTCTCCACTCTCTCAATCGCGTCGCTCATACACGGACTGGCCTTGCAGCACTTTTCATCCTTCGCCTATTCTTGTCCATCTTTCTGGAGCTCCTTGCTCCAATTCTAAGCAAGCTGGGAATGAACGCCATCTTGCGCTCCAACCTCAGGGCTCAATACTAAATCAAATGCTTTCAGCATCGGCTGTCTCTTTTCACATCACTCAACCATCCAAAGGTCGACCTTGAACTATATCAACCTATCACCACGATATTTATGTCTCAAACCCCTCCCTCCTTTACACCGCAGATGTCTCAAAAAGTTTCCCTCTCTCACATGTTTTTTCTGACTCCTGTCATGCAATGTGGAGACTTACAACGGTTGACGCGTATTCATTATGATCACAGAAGATAATAGATGTATTATATCAATTAAATTCATATGCTCAGCTATCCACATAATTCCGTGCTTCTTCGTCCCTTCTGAGAAATTGAATAGCAAGAGGATGAAGTTTCATTGTTTTCGCTACATGGGCGAGAGAGCTTGGGGAGATGATGGGGTTTTCCATGGATGGTATTTACATAGCTAACTACTACTAGTATTGGCTGTCATAAAGAATAATCTGGCATACAAATAAAGCATAAAATGAGGGGGAAATGAAGATCAAGATCTGGTATATTGGCACAAAGTGCAGGATAACTCAATAACTCTGAACCGACCGACAATCCAAATAAAAGATGAAAAAGAGAAACTTCCATAAATTCGCTTGCCTCGTGAAATCAAACGGGATCCTACCCAAACAAGTCATTTCCATCGCAGCATATCCAGAAATAAAGAAAAACATCAATCACATGTCACATGTGAGGCCATTCATATCAACACGAGAGCTCCAAAGTAGAGATCATTTTGTACAAGTCATGATGGTGAAATACATAAAAGAAAAGGGAAAAGGGGGAAGAGGGAACAAAGAGCCCCTGGAATTTTCTTACTCAAACTCCACTCCGTGCTGTTGTTGCCTCTCTTGCCGCGCTCGAGCCCGCTCTGCTCGTCGGCGCCGACGGTTATTAGCGTATGATCCACTGGCTTCCGTACCGGTCCATGTAGGTGAGGTGACACTGCCCGCACCGTAGGGCATGCTGGAGGGGGCGGCATGGGGAATTGGAGGGGGCGGTGGCATGTCACTGATTTGTGAGTGAGGAGGAGCGAAGGAGGGAATGCTTCCGGCAGGACCAGCAGATGTATGCGCCGCAGCCGCAGCGGCAGCTTGCTCGCGCTGGATCTGTTCTGCTTGTTGCCTCTCTAGCTCCTCGACACGGCGCCAACGATCACTCTCCCGGCCCTCGTCGCCAGAGATAGAGCTTGCACTACCGTTGCGGCGTCGAGAGTCACGGCGCTCTCGTCGTCTAGCTTCGCGACTAGCTGCGGCTTCTTGCTCGGTTAAACGACGAAGAGTCACATGGCGTCCATCGCCGTGCATTTTCACCTTGACTGACACCGGTGGGGACTCGACATGATCGTCGCGATGTCTACTATCATCTCGGCGTCTGCTATCATCTCGACGTCGACTGTCATCACGGTGCCGGCTGCCACTGTTGCGACGACGGCTGGCTGCACCCAATGCTGCGGCTCCAGCTGCTCCAGCGGCTCCAGCTGCTGCACCGGCAGCCCAATCCTCACCGTGGTGATCACCATGTGAAGAGGGCATCTCAGACACCAAGTCCCCAGAGTAATGCTGGTGCGCCGGTGGGATGGGAGGCATATCAGAAGGAGTTACATGGACAGCGCCTGATGCAACGGGTTCAGGGGAGAGAAGGGAGTCGCCATGCGATGGCTGACGAGGTGGACGGGGAGTAAGATCGGTTGGTGTGAGGTCACTTTCTGTATAAGAGCTGGGTTTGCGTCTTTGAGGATAGGGCCCTGCCCCTGCCTGTGACTGTGGGCGTCGTTTGCTGTTGGCTCTTTGAAGGCGTTCATCTTCCTCATCCTGACGGCGGATGTCCTCCATTCGGCGTTTCTCTTCATCATCCTTCTTACCACGGCTGAACAGTCGCTTCATGGCACCAAAGGCACCAGCACCAAGAAGTGCATCACGAACTCCATGCGAGGATTTTCTTGGCGGCTCTGTAGAATAGGCGCTGTCGTAATAGTACGAGGATCCAGGGCTCTGGGTCCTGCTTGGTGGTCGGCTTGGAGTTCGGCCTGGAGGTCGATGGAGCGGTGTCTGATGGGTGGGTTCCGGTCGTCCCTCTTCCAATCGACTGAAAGAATCTTCGCTGTAGCTGTCTGTACGCGAATGGGCAGGTCTATACCGACCTGCCTCAGAGTCATCTTCACGCTTCTTTCGGCGGTCCCACCAGCTCTTCGCAAGCATAGCACCTCCAGCCAGGGCACCAATCTCCAGAATCTTCTTTCCCCAACCACCACCCTCTTTGCCGTGATGAGAGGATTCATCTGAGTACTTCTCATCTGATAAGGAAGTGCGAGAATCTTCGTAGGCTTGGCTGGTATTCCGGCTCCGTGGTCGTCGACGGAACATCGAGGCCAGCCCTGCGGCCAAGGCTCCCCCAGCCAGCGCTCCTCCGAGCCCGCTGTGGTGATTATGCTCTTCCGTCACCACAGATGGACCGTCTAGTCGGCTTCCATGCTCACTGGGTAGGTGGTACCCTTCGTCGTCGTAAAGATAAGAGAGTACAAAATAGGTGACCAGAAGCGCGAATGCTGCAAGGGCGTATAGAATAAATAGGAATTTAGGTGACCCATAGAGAGTAAGACCAAGAGGAATTTGGATGATCCCTAGAATAGCCAAGGTTCGACCGAGCCAGCGGTGGATCTGTATACGATGTCAGTAAATGAATCAAAATTGAGATTCTCTGCGAGGAAGCACTCACCACTAGCTTCAACGGCACACGATGTCGCTTTCTCTTGCTCTCCATCTTGTGTGTGAGCCAGCCCCACAGGACCTGGAAAATGACCATGACATAAATTGCTAGGCCAATTCCGTGGTGTGGGTTGGTCAGGCTCCGCTCTGGCCCCACGGCAAACCAGCCAAGTACAAACACCACTGTTGTCAAAAGTAGCGTCATAACTTGACACCAGGCATGTAACTTGAATGCCCAGTAGGGATTCCATCGGGAGTAATATCGGATGAGTAGGGTTGACATGGGAACGATGCCCAAGAAGACGATGGTTGCGATGACACCGTGGGCAATGATTATAGAATGATACCCAGCCATGTCCTTGAAACGATTTCCCATGCCTAAGAAGAAGATTAATTGGGTTGAAACCGGCTCGAGAGAAGTGTCACTCTTGACTCACCATTATATCGCATCGTTTCGAAGTTCAGACCCATCAGATTGGGCAACAAGAAGGTATCGCGCTGCGTATCCCAAGTCCCATCTCCAACATGTAGTGTGTTCGACGAGTATGTGCTGCTTCCAGCAGCCGTCAACCCGGAGTCAGACATTGTGCCGGTTGCTCTCAAAGTCTCGTGCGATCGAATATAACTGGAATGTCGGGATTACCGAAGGAGACCTCGTGTGATCTCCCGATCC